AGAGTGATGGTGAGGAGAGGAGCATTACCTGGCTGCACCGAGCATGGGGAGAGTTGAGTTGAGGGCCCAGCGTCTTGCAGTGGAGGGTTTTTAGAAGCAATATTTAATTAAGCCGTCTCCCAAACCACGCTATCTCACACTACGTGCATAACCGGCTCAGCGTTGTGGGTGCACACGTTGAGTGGTTGATGGACGGCGAGGTGGACTTGAACGCGGCCATTCAAACACTTGATTGCACTTCATAGAGTAGTTACCCATATGCACCATTGTAGAGTATCAGCGCTCTACTACCCTCCGCTCGTGATGGTGCAGGGTTTCGATGCTTTTGTCAGAGCTTACTCAGCCTTCTGGTCTCAACACCGCTTTGTTTCGCTTTGCTGCTCAATCCCGCTCCCTTCAACGTCACCTCTCCTCCATCCCGCTACCTGGCTCTTCGCCACCACTCATTAGCATTGCTCTTTGTTTCATTTCTCCGCCCCGCTGATGGTGCCGCTCCTCGACCTTACTCAACCCTCTCAACACCGGGCCCGCTGCTTCTGGGGCTTCGAGCCTCGTTCGAACTTCAGACTGTTGCCTACTCACGTTGTTTACGCGACGCGTCCCCATAATGCATCATAACATCATAACAGTGCATCTTTGAACCACTTTTCAACCGCGTTATGTCTTCAAGCCCCACACCATGACGCATCCCGGTCGTTCACGCCACGAAGCAGCAACACAATGGGATGCATTGTACTATATTGTACATACGTGTTTTTGTGGCGAGCGGGATCAGAGTTGGTGTTTGAATTTTCATCACTTGCTATGGTTTACAATCATGATGTCGGTTACTACGTATCCTGGTTACTTACGTTCAATTCTTCGGCTTGATCTCATCAAGCTCCTCCTACTAATAGTGGCCCGGTTATAATACATTTTACTACTATATATACCCTCTGGCACCGTGATCTGCGACGAACCTGAAACTCCCTACACTGGCAGTAGCTGAGACCTCTGATCGGAGTCCCTCCCACTTCCTCCAAAATGGAACCTCTGATCCCCGCTCGCACTCCCTCATGATGTATTCTAAACTAACGGGCACTGAACAGCAGCACGGCGGTGTTCAAATGTGGTTTTCAACTCTTCAGCTCGCCACTTTCCAGGTTGTGGAATCCGCGGCGGGCGTCACCCTGCTGTTGCGCTCTGGTTGGGATACGTAGAGTAAGAATAGAAATAGATAGACAGACAGAGGGCAGGGCGAGTAGACAGCCTGTGGTGTCGCTCCACAAGCCTGCCGAAACCAACGATGTCTGACTCAGCTGGCTGACAAAGCATTCTGGTCATGTGCTTGCAACATGGCTGTTTCGCTTCACAACCCCCGCTCACCTCGCTCCACCTCGCTCCACCATCTCCACCTCGCTCGCTCCCTACATCCCTCGCTCCTGCACCTCGCTCGCTCCCTACATCCCTCGCTCCTCCACCTCGCTCTTCTGATCGCTTCGCCTCGACCCCGCTGCGTTCGCAATCTCCGCAGCATCCCCTCACACATCAATGCCGAACCTGCTGCTTGCCTCGCTGGTTTCCTGCTCTGGCTTCGACGCGTCGCACACGTGAGAGCGCAGAAATGGATGTGACACGTCAATGCCAAGAGTAATCAAGATTCCGACACAAATTGTTGGCGCCCCAGCACTGTTGGAATGGTCGTGATTTTGAGAAGAGCGAGCCCGAAAGACCGTCCCATGGCGTTCATGGGTCTCATCGAGAGAGGAAGGGCTGGGTTGACGAAGCTGAAAAACGCCAAGAAGATTAGGTATCACCGCAAGAGCACAACACCGAACCGGCCTTTGTCGATCACCCCTCACTTGAATCCTGTGCAACCGTACAACTTTGTGATCGGAAGAGTCTCTGATCGGTAGCGGGATGGATCCATGGCAGTATAGGACAGAGGATGTCGCTCACATTATGCCGGCCCCCCTGTTTTCCAGCCATCTTTATTATCGCTCGCCTCGCCCTCCCGCTCTTTACGCGAGATCCATCGCATCCTTCGCTGCCTTCCTACACGACATCAACGATCGAAAGCCGCCGCCCTACCAAACTTCCCCTCTCTGGTACCAGACGTCCACGCTCGATCGCCCTGACCCTCTTGACATCCACACTCCACCACTTCTCAACACATAATGACCTCCCACGCTGAACTCCCGAGCTATTTTACCGAAACCTTTCATAAGGACTGGGACATTGTGGACTTCATGAAGTCCCTGCACACCAGTCGCAGAAATGTCAATGCGCATCTCTCGCTGTGGATGAGAGCGTTGCGATCTGTCAGTCGTTGCTCGGCCCAGCAGTGCTGCTCGCCAGAGTTGACAGACCACGCCTGTCTTCTTGTGGGAAGATACAAATCACGGGTAGGTTTCCTTTTCTTAAAACGTTACTTCATACCACTGACATGGTGACCCTCTTCTTTTCTTCGCCACCACCTTTCCCGCCCCTCCCATCGCCGAAGGTAGTCGGATTCGCGCTCTCCCCGGACCGAGCATGCTTGTCAGTCACTGTGACTCCCCATCGATTGGGCCACCCACTGTGATGTTAACCTGCACCAACATGGAATGTGAAGTCTGGTAGAGTCACTGACTCGATCACGCTACCCATACAATGGATGGTCAGCGTATATTCATTCCTCAGTGTCGTGTGCGACCCAACATGGCAGAGAGTCACTGGCTACAACACTCGATGGAACCTCAGACCATGTTGTCTGCGCGCTTGTCAACATGGAGGTGACAGTTGATAGAGTTGGCTACTCCATCGCTGGAACTTCCCTTGTTTTCTGCACGTGTGATCACATGGGGGTGGAGCCGACGACGGGGAGAGTCGTGGATTCGACGTCCTGGGGCCCATGGTGGGCGCATGCCGTAATATGGAGGTGTACCGTGGTGGGGATAACATACTCCATCACCCACTGTTACCGGTTCCATGGTAGAGTTGATCACTCAATCGTTGGAACCGTCCATATTGCCATTGTGCGCTCCACCATTGGGCCAAAGGATGGGAGAGTGGTGGGTTCCCCGACCCGGGGGCCGTGGTTGGGCGGACGCCGTAACATGGAAGTGAAGCGTGGTCGGGATACACACTCCATCACTCACTGTACCCGGTTCCGATCACGATTGGTAGAATCACTGACTCAACTTCCGGAACCGGTCCATGTTACCTGCGTGTGCTCTATCATTGGCCCTAGGGGTCTCTTGAATTCGACACAACGATTCAATACAGCTCCATTCACTTCTGGTATCTGCCTCTCGGGGCGGAATTGGGTGTTGACGGCTGACTTTGAAACAGGATAGGAAGCGCGTTACGGACTGGCTTGACAAGTCCACCCGTCCATCTACTTCCGACAAGCGCCCCGCCCAAGAGTCAGCCCAGCAACCCAGTGGCCAGTCGAAGAAGCAGAAGATGAACAGTCATATTCCCGGTCCAGCGGCGTTGATCAATAATTGTTCCATTGGTGGCGATGTGAACCAACAGGTGACCCATAATGTCAATTTTAGACAGGATCCCCCCGAGTCGCAGAGTAAGTTTATCGTGGCATTTACGCCCAGAGACGCAGACACTGACCCTGCGAAGAATCCCCGACTCCTCCGGCACAAGGTGAGGAACCTGACTCCTCCTCCAGCCTGTCCGGAACGGAGACCCCTGAGTTGTCGTCACCTCATCTCGTGTCTGTCCGGAAAATGTACGCGTCGATGCACGACCGCAAGTGGTTCCTTTCTCCTGATCGTTGCGTGGAAGACGAAGTCTATAACTACTGTCGCCGGTTGAGTCCTCGAAGATTGAAGGGATCCCTCTTGAGGGCCTTTGTTTTAGATGTGTCCGATCAGGTTGTGATGAAGTCCCTGTTCTCTGCACAGGAGGTGGAAACAATTAAATCAGCATTCCCGTCGATGCCACAGTTGGAAAAAAAGTTCTTGGAAATGCTTGATCGATTTGTTGATGTACGCACAATGACCCCCAAGTCTTTTTGTGAATTCGCTAACATCTGGACCAGGTGGAATCCATCCGAGACCTGAGATGTCGCCTGTACGGTGTTGTTCCTAGATCCCCCGACGCTTGCGTTGACGACCGCAAAATGGTTGAGTGGATCGAGCAAGTCTACTGGAATACTCTCTATCTTTTTGACTGCGAAAAGAAACCCCTCACATCAAATCACAACGAACAGTGGTTCAACTCAAATATCTGGTCCCGTGTTATCGACACGCTCTTCCTGTCTTTGCCTTCGGTCGACAATCTTCGCTCTGAAGTCGTCTGTGTTGCCACCTCAATTCTTGCCAATAGTAACCGTACCGACACCGGCGGCCCAGATAATCGACGCAAACTTGGTCCCAGGCTCGACGGAATTTTTCGGATGAAGAATGGTGACAAGTTTGAAGTGGGCGCAATCGAAGTCTCTAAAAGCTTCGATTCCACTACGTCGACGAAATGGATCCATGATTCAAAGAAACTGCGGTTTGCCTTGCGAGATATGCTCCTACGCCTACATGACATTGTTGATACCTGTGGTGATGATGGTGTGATAGAGCGGTTGCAGACGGTGGGGATTTTAAATGCAGGGCTGAAGTTCCAACTTGTCCGCTGCTGGGCAAAGCGGAAAGGGGGGGTCGTGTTATGCAAGGCGTCGGAATTGCTCGAGTTCCCCACGAGTATCGAACAGATTGCCCATTTGGGGACTCTGTTACAAGCTATGGCCATTGTCAAAAAGATCGTGGAAGCGGTCAACAAGGAAGTCGAACAGCGGGTCTTGCAGAACGACCGACCGGCGATTCGGCGAACTACGGTGCCTGCGAAAATCGATACTTGATGGGAATTGAAGGGTCAATACATGTTTTGTGGGTAATGATTACTGGCAGTTTATTGGTGTCGCCGTTCTTCACCAGATTCAACTGTGTGACTCGTCCCAGCATGCAGCGCATACTAGCAGCGCCAAAAAAAACATTTTTGCTACACCCACAAAAACCAAATGAACCACGTAATGCTCACAGCCGGAGTTGAACCGGCGATCTTCCCATGATCGTCGTAAACATACGAGTGGGATGCCTTAGCCACTGGGCCATGCGAGCTAGATACGTGTGGCAAATTTCCCAAGTAGCTCTCTTGGAGCCTTTGGTTTGCCGTGTCGCCTGGTGCTCCCAGTATGGAAAAGAAGAACATCGATGCCGACTTGATCCAGTGGACATCTAGCTTCCTGGAAGGCAGAAGTGTCAGCATGGTCATAGATGGCCACGAGCTCGAAAGCCACTCTGTACTGTCCGGGGTTCCCCAAGGGTCTCCAGTCTCCCCCATACTCTTTGCCATATACCTGAGTGGCGTATTCAAGGAGGTCGAAGCCAAGTGTAGTGTAATTGGAATCTCGTACGCTGACGACATCGGCTGGTTGGCGACGGGAAAAGACGTCGACAAAATCACCCGGAACCTGGAATCAGCCGCGGAGGCAGCAGAAGAGTGGGCCAGCCGTAACGCAGTCGAATTTGACTTGGGAAAAACGGAGGCCATTCTCTTCGCGCGCCAAAACAACAAGAGTTTCAAGGAC